CTTTCTCTCTCCCCCCATTGGCTTTGCAGGAGGTGCCCCCTCCAGACCCACGAATTATTAGACCTGCTGGACGGGTCAAGTGGGGCCCAACGTGGGGCTCGACCTAATATAAGAAAAAACATTTTTTCTGGGGGGTGGGGGGCCAAAGACCCCTGGTTCAATGACCACCATCCCTTCCTCGGGTGTTATAATCCGGGTGGGTCCAACAGTTAACAGAAAACTGACCCACGCTTAGTCTATCACTAGATGGCAAACAGTTTCTCGGCCTTCTGGACACGGGCGCCGATGCCACAGTCATAGCAAAAAAATTTTGGCCTGCTTCCTGGCCCCTAGAACCCACTGTCACACATCTAAAAGGAATAGGCCAAGTTCAAAATACATTACAAAGTTCTAAGTTCCTAACCTGGCAAGATGCTGAGGGAAATACCGGGCACATTAAACCCTTTGTAGTTGACGGCCTGCCGGTTAATTTATGGGGAAGAGATATCCTGACACAAATGGGAGTTATTATGTTAAGTACTAATGATAAAGTGACCCAGATGATGTTAAAATCAGGATTCTTACCCGGAAGAGGATTGGGAAAAAATGAACAGGGACTAAACCAACCAATCATACCCACATCCAAGTTAGATAGACGGGGAATAGGAGCTGACCTTTTTTTTTAAGGACCACTGCTCCCCCTGCACTCCAGGCTGGCAAAATAACTTGGAAATCAGACACCCTGGTCTGGATAGATCAGTGGTCCATGCCTCGGGAGAAGGTCCAGGCTGCCCTACAGTTGGTGCAGGAACAATTACAGCAGGGACACCTTGAACCTTCCACATCCCCCTGGAATACCCCCATATTTGTGATAAAAAAGAAAAACGGAACGTGGAGGCTACTGCAGGACTTAAGAGAAGTTAATAAGACCATGGTCCCTATGGGGGCCTTACAGCCTGGATTGCCCTCCCCAGTAGCCATTCCTAAAGGGTACTCTAAAATAATTATAGATATTAAAGATTGCTGCTTCTCCATTCCCCTTGACCCCCTTGACTGCAAGCGGTTTGCCTTCTCCATACCAGTGGTAAATCATGTGGGCCCGAACCCCCGATTCCAATGGAAAGTGCTGCCTCAGGGTATGGCTAACTCGCCCACCCTTTGTCAGAAATAAGTAGCCCAGTCTATTGACCTGATAAGAGTCCAATATCCTAATGTTTATATTATACACTACATGGATGATTTGCTGGTTGCAGCCAGTTCAGAAAACAAAACGCAACAAGTAGCCCAGGAGATGGTCACTGCCCTACAAGACAGGGGGTTCCATATAGCCCCGGAAAAAATACAGACCTTATATCCATTTCTCTTTCTAGGGTTTCAGTTATGTCCAGATTTACTATACTCAAAAATTCAAAATTAGGAGGGATAAGCTCCATTGCCTTAATGATTTTCAAAAACTTCTGGGGGATATCAATTGGCTACGGCCTTATTTAAAACTTACCAAAGGGGAAGTGTGTCCCCTCGAGGATGTTCTCAAAGGAGATTCTGACCTCCGTTCCCCCAGGCAGCTTACTCCTGAAGCAGAGACAGCCCTGCAAA